TTTTTAAAAAGTTTTCTCTTTCAAACTCCCACATTGCAAAATTGTCCTCCAGTTTGGATAATCTATCCTTAGTTTCTTTCAAGCTGATTTGCCATCTTTCCATAGCATTTTTAATTCACTGGTAATCTCTTTGAATCTGCTTCATATATTCTATTTTTTTAAATATACTTCACCAAGTGTTTCTCTCCTTTGTTTGAGTTCCTCCCTTCTTCCGTCTGTGTCTGCTTGAGGAGTGCTTAGCATCTCTTTTATTAATCTTCTTATATCTTGCTTTATTTGGCTAAATATTTCACTTTTGAACTTGTCTATGAGGTCCCAAATACTATCTCTTTATATCCACTGGAGCTGTGTCTGATATTGCATGTTTGCTGTTCTCATTCTCCTTTGTATTTACCTGTCCTGGGTCAATGTTCTCAGGGTTGGGGCCAGGGGACTTTTTGTTGTTTCTTCCTCTTCCCATCTTTTTTGCTTCTTCCAGGAGGCTCCAGTTTCTTTCTTTGTTGGTTACAATTCTTCTGAAGTGCGCTGGCTAGATAACCCTTCCCACTGCAGTGTGCTAGTGAGTTGCAGACAGGGACAGCATATCTGATTCCTCCCCTCCGAATCAGTCAAGCTGCTGTGGCCTGCACTACTGTATTACCTTGCACCGCCTCGTCTTTGGACCAGCCAAACATCAGAGGCCTCACTGGGCTGGTGTGGTAAGTGTGTGCCATTGCTGTAGGGACTTGACCTCCGATAATCTATCGGGTCTCAGCTGGGTATGTGACCCAGGTCTAGCTCACTCCACCAATCCCATTTGGGAAGGGAATAATTGACTGAAGTCACTGTTGCCCCTTGTACTTGCCAGTCCTGTCCGGTCCCAGAATGTCATCTGCTGGAGCCCCCCTATTTGTGGAATGGCTCCACTCCCATCACTCACCACAGGTGGATGTAGGCACCCTGCCAACTCAGCTCTCCATTCAGCTTGCTGACCCTCAAACCCAATGTAACTGTGCCTCCAGTGAGTCAAAGCAGCGGGATCTTGGGCAGCTCAGCAAGTCACGATGGGACCCTGGCCAGTCAGTGGGACCTCGGATGGTTGCGGCGGGACTTTGGATGATCAGCAAGTGACCTTAATTTCTTCTTGGGATGAGAGAATTCATCTCCCTCTGTTTAGGACTCCCTACTCTGTCTTATGTTGAATTCTAAGCTGACTATCTCAGGGAGCTTCTGTAGTCAGTTGTTATCTATTTGCCATCTTTGCTCCTCCCCCCATATAACACTCTGAAAAAGACAATAATCAAAAATGTTTCAGAGAATTTTGGGGGCAAGTGAAAGACATATTCTATATTTTCATTGTGATAGTGGTTACATAGCTGTTATGGCTCTAACCAACACGCCTCCGTCCTGTTCTGTCTGTGTTGTTTCGATAGGATTAAATTTCCATTTCCAGTAAAGACTTAAGTTTCAGCCTCTTGTAAATCCCCCCAATTCCCTTCCACATGTTTCTGCAAGGTGTGCTGTTCCAGGAAAAATGTTTAACTGCAGAGAGCAATGGAATGTACCAAGAATCCCAGATGTTATCTGAAATAGGTCAAAAGCTTTGTGGGTTTTTTTAGCTTTAAAAACCTTGCCCTTAGCCTGTGAGGCGTGCAGTCTTCCATACTGGCTACTGGAGGCTGTGTCCCCTGGCCTGGAAATAAAGCCTTTCTTAATTTCTTAATTTCTTAATTTCTTGCTTCTTTGGATTTTATTCTGGGGTCCAAGCTATCACATTTGTGGGCTTGTCTGGGATGGCAGCAAGACCCCTGACTCAATTCTGAACACCTAAACATAAGTACTCTGGAGGTTTTGTGGTCAATTTGTACTTTTGGAGGGGATGCCCTCAATTTGGGGAGCAAGGACCTCCTGAGGACAGAGTCAATTGTTTTTTGGGATAAATTTCACCTGTTTGTGTGGTTTTTGGGATGAATTTCATCCGTTTGTGACCCTGCCCAGGTGGGGAACTGCTCCACTGGTTAATTTGTTAATTCCTCCAAAGCTCAAAAATTTGACTAATTTTTGAGCAAAGGTCATTTTTGCTGTAGCTTGTCTTGTCTTGTATGTCTGTCTGTATGTCTATTTGGTCTAACTGTTCTCCTTTTGGTTTCCCAAACCTAACAGAACATTTTCTCCTACGAACCCCTTCTATGAGCCCAAATGGACAAAAGGATTTTGACCATTATTTTCATCTCATTGTTGTTCTTTCTCTTCCTCCTAATCTTATTTTTGTCTCTTAGACTTTCCCACAGAAAAAAAGAACTGACATCTTTGCTGGCCATGGGGCAAACTGAATCTAAATCCAGCACACCCCTTAGCCTTGTGCATGATCACTTCAAGGAATTCAAGTGGCAGCCTGAGAGATATGGGGAAAGAATTCATAAAGCCAGATTAACAACTTTTGTCACATAGGAATGGTTGTTAGGAACCCAGGGGGTCTAGCCCCTCTCTAGGTCTTTTAACATGGAGACAGCACAAGCTGCTCGCTGGTATGTTTTTGGGCCCCCTGCTCACCCTGACCAAATTGTCTATATTCAGATCTGGATAGACATAATTTATGATGCCCCTTCCTGGATTAAGCCCTCTCGCGACAGAGTCATTGCAGCCCTCAAACCGAAAGTAAAACTCGAGAAGCCACCCTCTGAACCTACCATGCCTCCGTCCTGTCCTCCAAAGAAGACCCCCTTGACCAGCTGGAGGCACTCCCGCTGCCTCCCCTGTACGCCACCACTGACCCCCAATCTGATTCCACTGCTCCATCCCGCCATATCCTGTTCACACCTGCTCTCACCTGCGGCCTGAGGTGTCTTCAGAGCAAAGCTCTGAGGTGGCTCCGCTTTGTCCATTACGGGAGGTCCCTCGGCCAGACAGGGGCTCAGTGTTTGTGTACATCCTTTCTCATTTTCAGAAGTCTATAATTGGAAAGCCTCAAACCCTCCATTTTCTAAGAATCCTGAAACTCTGATTAACCTTTTAGAATCTGTATTCTTCACCCTTTGCCCCACTTGGGATGATCGCCAACAGATCATGCGCATCCTCTTCACAGCTGAAGAGAGACTGTGCATTTGCACTCTTGGGCAAAAAGGAGTCCAAGACCTAGACGGATCTACATCCACCAATCGGCAGAGAATCGAACACATGTTCCCTTCCTCCCGACCTGACTGGAACCCCAATACAGACAGAGGTAAGAGGGCTCTCGATGATTATCGCCTGAGGCATCTAGACGTGCTCCATGCTGCCTCCAAGAAGCCTACCAATTTATCTCGAGTGACTGAGGTAAGACAATTAGCCAATGAATCGCCTGCTATGTTTTTAGAGTGCCTCCTAGAGGCATATAGATTACATATGCCAATTAATCCAATGGCACCTGAAAACGCACAAGCAATTAATATTGCTTTCATGTCCCAGTCGGCCCCTGATGTTAGGAGAAAATTACAGAAGCTTGAGGGATTTGAGGGAATGCCCCTCAGCCAATTAATAGAGATAGCACAAAAGTCTTTGAGGACAGATAGAATTTACAAGAAGCTACCAAACAAGATGACCAAGGTGTTAGAATTGCTCTGTGAGAGAGAAACTAAAAAGCCAGCCAGTACCAATAAGAAGGAAGCTCAGGGACAACGACCTCTACTAGATAAGGAACAATGTGCATATTGCAAGGAAATGGGACATTGGTAAAAAGATTGTCCAAAGTTAAAGGCTAAATTAGAAAGAGAAGCAAAAACCTTGTTGTCTCAACAATGAGCAGGTCAGGGCTCACTGCCCCATCCCCCAGAGCCCCAGATAACCCTTCAAGTGCGGGGTGGGCATCCGGTGGACTTCCTGGTAGATACAGGAGCCACCTATTCTGTACTGAACCAACCCTTGGGAAAATTGACCAAAGACTCAGTTAATGTAATAGGAGCCACAGGGGGATGAAGATCATACCCAGAGGTGACTGCTAGCTTGGCTCAACAGGCCGTAAGTTAGTCCCACATGATTTCTTATGGGTACCAGAGTGTCCAGACCCCCTCCTATGATGAGACCTCCTTCATAAGTTCCAAGTACAAATTGACTTATTAACAGATGAGCCAAAATTAAGATTGGGAACAGACTCAACCCAAATTCCTGAAGTGAGTATTAGAGTTTTGGCCTTGGTTCTGGAGGGAGAAAATTACAGTCTGCTGCAAAATTTGACTGATCCTCCTAAGTTGTTGCTTGCAGACTTAGAATTAAAATTATTAGAAAAATGGAGACAAGAAATCCCCAGGGCCTGGGCTGAAACTAACCCTCCAGGTCTAGCAGTCAACCAATTGCCCCTTGTAGTAGAGCTCCTACCCCAGGCGTGCTCTATTTGTTTGCTTCAATATCCAATAAGTCTCCAAGCTCAAAAGGAAATTAAAGTTCATATAAAGAGACTAAAAGAAAATGGTATCCTCATCCCTTGGGTCTCCCCTTGGAACAAGCCCCTGCTTCCAGTCCAGAAGCCAGGGACAGCTGACTATTGTCCTGTGCAAGATCTCCGGGAGGTCAACAGATGGATATTGACTCTATATCCAACAGTGCCTAACCCCTACACTGTACTCAGCCTCTTCAACCCAGAGTGCACCTGGTACTCCGTATTGGACCTCAAGGATGCCTTCTTCACCCTACCTCTCGCCCTGGTGAATCAACCCATTTTTGCCTTTGAATGGACCGACCCAGATTCTGGGGTCACGGAACAACTGACTTGAACTCAGTTATCATAGGGTTTTAAAAACTCGCCCACCCTTTTTGAGGAGGCTTTGGCTTGAGATCTCTTGGGTTTTCGTGAAGAACACCCCAAGGTAATGCTTCTACAATATGTGGGCGACCTGCTGGTAGCCTCATCCACCTTAGAGTCCTGTCAAGAGGTGATAGGGGAGCTACTAAAACCTTTGGGATGATTAGGTTATAAGGTTTTGGCCAAGAAAGCCCAATTGTGTTGCCAAACTGTGACTTATTTGGGCTACAAGTTATGGGGGGGGGGGAGCTATCCAAAGAAAGAATTCAAGCCATATTGCAGATTCCAACCCCAGAAACTAAAAAACAAGTACAGGAGTTTCTGGGGGTGGCTGGATACTGTAGGCTATGGATTCTAAATTTTACTGAAATAGCTCGCCCCCTGTATGACTCCCTTAAGGGAGAAACTCAGAATTCACTGAACTGGACTGATGAATGTAAACAGGCCTTCCAGCAGCTCAAGCCAGCCTTGACAGAGAGCCCAGCCCTAGGCTCCCTGACATTACCACGCCATTCACCTTGTTCATAGATGAACTCAGGGGCATTGCCAAAGGAGTCCTAACCCAGGACATCAGCCCTTGGAAGAGACCTAAAGCCTACCTCTCCAAAAGACTTGATCTGGTGGCAGGAGGATGGCCCCTCTGCCTGAGAATGCTAGCTGCTGTGGCAATGTTACTTAAAGAAGCTAAGAAACTCACTTTTGGACAAAAGATTTCTGTGGTGACCTCCCACAGTGTAGAGACTCTTATCAAAACCCCTCCTGAAAAGTGGCTGTCAAACGCTAGAATTCTACACTATCAGGCTCTGCTCCTAGACCCAGAGTCAGTGATTTTCAAGACTTCTTCAGCCTTAAACCCAGCTATTCTTATGCCTGACAACAACCCTGAAGTTCACAGTGTGCCTCTCCATGAGTGTGCTGATCTCCTCGAAATGCAGCAGAATCTACAGGCTGATCTTACTGACCAGCCTTTGGGGAATGCTGATAACTACTTCACCGACAGGAGCAGTTTCATCCAGGATGGCAAATGAGTGGCTGGAGCAGCAGTGACCACTGAAAAAGAGGTACTCTGGGTTAAGCGGTTGGTTAGAGCCTGGCACCTCAGCCTAAAAGGCTGAGCTTATTGCTTTGACCAAAGCATTAAAGTTAGCCACCAGGAAGAGGGTAAATATCTATACTGACAGTAGATATGCTTTTGCTACTGTACATGTGCATGGAGCCATTTATCAAGAGCCAGGTCTCTTAACCTCAGCTGGAACTAAGATAAAAAAAAATGCTCTACAGATTCTAGACTTGCTGGCAGCTGTCTAGCTACCTCAGTGGGTTGCTATTATTCATTACAAGGCCCATCAGACAGGAGCCGACCCTATCACCCTAGGAAACAATGTAGCAGACCAGACCTCTGGAATAGCAACCACGTTGCTAACCGAGGAGGTAACTGCTCTGATGTTGATTCCTCCCACCTTATCAGAACCGGTTTACACAAAGAAAGACCTGCAGTTATCATCTCAACTTGGAGCAAAGTTCCTCACCCCAGGAGGTTGGTACCAATTAACAGACAAGTGAGTGCTGTTGCCAGAGGCACTAGGACTTGAGCTGCTACACCAGGCTCACCAAACCACGCATTTAAGGGGAACTAAACTTGCTGAATTGTTCAGAACTAGGTTTTTCATTCCAAGACTCTCCAAACTGACCACCTCTTTGAGCTCCAGATGCCCGAAGTGTTTGTTAGTAAACCTGACCAAAAGCTCTCCCCTGGAGACCACCCGGCATCGAGGAACTGCCCCAGGAGAACACTGGGAAGTAGACTTTACAGACATGGTAAAGCCCAGTTTACAGGGACACTGCTATCTTTTGGTATTAATAGACACCTTTACTGGCTGGATAGAGGCTTTCCCTACCAAGTCTGAGTCAGCCTTAGTGGTAGCCAGAAAGCGATCGCATGAGATCATACCTCGATTTGGCCTTCCATTAACAATGGGGTCCGATAATGGCCTGGCTTTCATAGCCCAAATCACCCAAAAGTTAGCCCAGGCATTAAAAATTAATTGGAAACTCCAATGTGTCTATTGGCCACAAAGCTCAGGGCAAGTAGAACATATGAACTGAACTCTCAAGAACACTTTAGCTAAGCCTGTCTTGGGAAATGGTGATAATTGGGTGAGCCTTCTTCCCTTTGCTCTGCTGTGAGCTAGATGTACTCCTTATATTTCTGGAATTTCCCCATTTGAAGCTATGTTTGGGAGAACCCCTCCACTGGTCCTGAGGCTCTCTGAGGACAAATTAATTGAAATAACTAACCAAGATCTCATTAAGTCCCTGCAGGCACTCCAGCCTTTGCTGACCTCCATCCACCAGCTGTTCAGACAAAAACACCCGGACCTGCCTTCAGAGACACCATTAAAGACACCCATCGAGCTGGGAACTTCAGTCTTAGTGTGACGCCATCATCTCGACACCCTTGAATCCCGCTGGGAAGGACCTTTCACCGTGGTGCTCAGTAACCCCACTGCAGTCAAGGTTGCTGGAAAGACTCTGTGGATTCACCATACTCACATGAAGCCACTAGAAACTGCAGACAACGAGGACCTCACCCAGTGGAAAGTGCACCGAACTGGTAAGCCACCAAAGTTGAAGTTTATTAAGGACTCTTGATTATGCTAATCATGCCTTGTTTGTAGTCTATAGTTTGTTGCTTAATTATGGTTGTACTCGGGGCTGGGGATTTAGCTCAGTGGCATAAGTGCCTGCCTTGCAAGCAGGCAGTCGTGAGTTCGATCCCCGGTACTGGTAAAAACGAAAAAGACAAAAAAAAAAAAAAAAAAATTATGGTTGTACTCCCTGGAAATGGGGATTGGGTTATTTCAGACAAAAAGACAAAAAAGGAGGTGGGAAGGACTAAGAATGACTTAAACCAAATTACTCTTAACCTATGTACACTCTTTAATGGTAAACTAGTTGAGAGGAATGGCTACTGAACCAAATTCAATTACTGTGATGACCTCCAACAAGCCTGCATTCTTTGGGACCATTTTAGAAATGGTGTTGATGGTATTGCCTTATATGTATGTCCTAAAAGCCAACCAGACCCTAGTTATAATGCTTATTGTGCCTTAGACCCAAAAGAATAATACTGTTATGCGTGGTTATGTGTTACCAGAGGCCTCGGTGGATATTACCGCTCTGAAAAATATTATCAATTGAATAGGAAATGAAAACTGTCAGGCCGCTCATACCTATAATCCTGTTCTGTTGACTTTCCTAAATCCATTAGAACCAAAGTGGCAAGGAGATGGACTCACTTATACCATTAAGGCTTATAAAGCTGAATATGATCCAGGAAACAACATTGAAATCCTATATAAACCCTCCTATATGAAGCCCCTACAGTCACGCTTCAAAGGCCAGATCAGACTCCTCTGCATCCACTTAGATCTTCAACCAGGGCTATGGTATTTACAACTGTCATCAGCCTCGCCTTGACACCCTCCCCAATGTCTTCTATATCCTCTATGATTGATGTATTTCAACCTTTGGAAATAGTGGCCAAACTACTCAACACCTCTCTCAAGAGTGAGAGTAGTCTGTCAACCCCATGCTAGCTGTGTTTGTCCTATGATCCCCTCCGGCTTTTTTGAGGGATTCATTAAGGTCATTAATGAGTCATCACCTAGCGCAGCTAGGTGCAACATGGCACTCCCTCAGACCTTATGGAAAAACACCAAATTAGAAGGAGTAAGTGGTACTTGCATATATCATTCCAGCAACATGGCCCCTGAATACTGTGATCCCACAAGTTCTTATGGCATCACCGGGCCTGGTAATCATACCCTGATAGTAGCCCCAACAAGCCATTGGTGGGCCTGTACTTCAAGATGGTTACACCTGCATCACCTCAAAAAAGTTAGTTATTGATCAAGATGAAGTTTGTGTATTGACCTAAATTTTACCTAGAATTTACTGGCATCCAAAGGAAGAAGGAAATAGGATCCTCATTTCTTTCTTTCTTTTTTTGTCTTTTTCCTTTTTATTGGTACCAGGGATTGAACTCACAACTGCCTGCTTGCAAGGCAGGCGTTTATGCTGCTGAATTAAATCCCCAGCCCCTGGATCCTCATTTCTACCAACCAACAGGTAAGCAAGAGAAGCCCAGTCCTTCCTATTGTAGCTGGAATTAGTATATTTTCAGCCATTGGGCGGGTGGCCACCTCCCTGGGAGTCAGTACATATTAGTATAACTTGCTATCCCAGCAGGTAGATGAGGGGATGAAACAAATTCATGATGCTATCGAAGCTTTAGAAAGCTTGATTGACTCGCTAGCTGAAGTGGCCCTTCAAAACCACCGAGAGTTAGATCTCCTATTAGTTGAAAAAGGAGGATTATGCTTAACTTTGGGGGAACAATGCTGCCTATATGCTAACAAGTCTGGAATAGTAAGAGAAAACTTAGGCGAACTCCAGAGGGGCCTTGAAGAAAGGGAAAAGCTAAGACAGGGAACTTCAGGATGGATGGAACAAATGTTCTCCTTCTTACCATGGGTAACTAGTTTAGTAGCTACCCTAGCTGGCTCCCTTGTCATGATCCTTCTACTAGTCACCCTGGGCCCCTGTATAATCATTAAGCTGACTGTTTATATTAGATAGCAAATGCAGTGCATAAAACTGATGATGATCTGTCAACAAGCCTATGAGCTTATTCCCCAAGATCCATAACATTAGGCCAAAGGTTTGGCCTCAGTCACAACATCAGAGGGGAATGTTATGGCCTTGCTCTAACCAATGCGCCTCTGTCCTGTTCTGTATGCGTCATTTCGATAGGATTAAATTTCCATTTCCAGTAAAGACTTAAGTTTCAGCTTCTTGTAAATTCCCCCAATTCCCTTCCACATGTTTCTGCAAGGTGTGCTGTTCCAGGAAAAACGTTTAACTGCAGAGAGCAATAGAATGTATAAAGAATCCCAGATGTTATCTGAAATAGGTCAACAGTTTTGCGGTTTTTAGTTTTAAAAACCCCATCCTTAGTCTGTTAGGTGCACAGCCTTCCATATTGGCTACTGGAGGCTGCGTCGCCAGGCCTGGAAATAAAGCCTTTGCTCCAAATTTCTTAATTTCTTGCTTCCTTGGATTTTATTCCGGGGTCCAAGCTATCACAGTAACTATATAATTTTTAAAACTTAGTAAACTATACCTCAGATGAATTTCACTGCATGTGACTTATACTTCAATAAACTTGTTTTAAAGCATAAGAGAAATTAGAAGGCGAAGTAATACTTTGAATAGTCTCAAGGAAATTCTTTCCAGCTTAAAACCCTATCTCCAGCCAAACTATCAAATGGAGGAGCAGAATAAAGTTTTTTAAACACACATTCTTGGGAAAATATGCTTCCCTGATCCCTTCTCATACAACTATTGGTGGGACATGTTTCTCTCAAAGTAATGGAGAAAAAGCAAAACAAAACATAGACAAGAAATGCAATTCCCATTAGCCTGTAACAGTCATGGCCTGGGAGAAGAAACAGGAAGCCAATACGCTCTTCATGTGAGCCAGTGGGCTGGGAGGAGAAACAAGACAGGGTCCTTAAGATTCTCTTGATGAAGATCTTTGTGCCTTGCAACTTCTACTTTCTAAAAGTAGAAGTCTTGAGTTTTTCCTTTTCATACATGATGCCTGCCTCATGAGTTCGTCACTTGCCTCGTAATTTCTTCATTCATGAGCACAAATCTGTTACAACTTTGATTTTGCTGTTCTCTTTCCAGTTTATCCTTCAAAATAAAGTCAAGAGTTAAAATTATTTTTTCTAAAAGCTAATTTGGGGGGAGTAATGGGTTTCAACTCAGGACCTTGGAACTGAGCTATATGCCAGAATTTTTTTTTGAATCTATAAAACATGCATAATATTCACAGTCAGAACATTTACAAAGGAATATTCAGGAAAAAGTCGGCCACTTGCATGTGATTTTTTGGCCCCCTGCTACTGAAATCAGACTCAGGCCTTGCACTTTTTCTACCCAGTGAGCTAAATCCTAAGCCTACACTTGACATGAGGTCATGCAATTCCTGTTAAAAGGCCTACAGCTACCAATTTTTTGATAATATATTTCTAAAATGTGTCTACTTTATATTTTTTATGGCTTATTACTTTTTTCACAATAATGTCCCATGCAAAGCACATGAGATGTTTCGGGACTGAGTTCTTTTTACCTCTTATTTCTTTTAACATTCTCACAGTACATCTAGGTTCTACCCTCTGTAACCATTAGCTCTTTCTAAATAGCCTAAAGCTGTTTTCTCTGTGATTTCACATATGCTTTCCAACTACCTGGAATGCCTCTCTTACTATTTCCACCTCCTCATATTGATGTTAAAAGTGTTGGCAGGCTTTGTGGATAAAAATTATACCCTTCTCTCATGAGATCTTTCCAAACTGCATGTGTATGTTTTTATTATAACAGCATCTGCCACACTGCCTTATTTGCACTAGAAGGCAGACACTGTGTTCTGTCCCCAGGATATAGCAAACTAACATGCAGTTTTTGTTTAATAAGTACAGAATATTAGATAAAATGTTAACTATAACTAAACCAAGGGCATACTGGGGTGCATTAATAGCTCAGCATTTATAGTTCTGCCCACCATAATTAGAGATGGACACTGAAAAAATGTAAAATCCACCTGACAGTGTAGTCGAGTAGAAAAAAAAGAATACGGGGAGGCACAGCTTCCTTAGTAGCACTAAAGGACTAGGGAAGAGTGGCTGTCAACTGCCTGGCTTCTCCGTGAGACTGGAGGTACTTCATCACTGTACTGGGTCATCTTGGTATGTTTCCATTGATGCTGAACTTATTTACACTAATAAAACCTGAAATACTGGAGTTGAGTGTTGCTTCTGTAATGTTGCTGCTGGTCATTTATATTACAATATATTTTGCTAAAATAGGAGTACAGTTACAACTGATAGGTGAAGAAAGTGGGTGTAAGCTACAATCTTTTTTTTTTTTTTTTTTTTTTTTTTTTTTTTTTTGTCTTTTTCGGTACCAGGGATCGAACTCACAACTGCCTGCTTGCAAGGCAGGCGCTTATGCCACTGAGCTAAATCCCCAGCCCCTGTAAGCTACAATCTTATTTTTGCCTCTTCTCAAGAATGTTAAGGCACGGGAATATTATTTGTCTTGGCTGGAGCAGGGACTATAGAGCACTGCCGCTCCTAGAACACACTATTATAGACCTTTCTCCTAAGCGGGGACAGTGCCTCTTTTCTTTTCTTTAATGGAATTTGACAGTGTTTGACATTTAAAGTACTAGGATGAAGGAAAGAGAGTGGAAGAAAATGCGATACAAAATTTAAAACAGGAATGAATGGAAAACAAAGGAATATAGGAGATATTTTTTTACTGTCTTCTCAATTATGCACAGGTTCAACTCAACAAAAAAAGAAAAAACTCAAAACACCAAGCAAGCAAAGTTGCTTAAACCAGGACTAAGGTATTTAGAAAAGATAATTTCTAAGTTCCTATCTAATGTTTCAATCTGTGACTCTAGGTTTTAATTTTCCCTGCAATGCTTTTAATTCTATTTATTACAGAATTACAGAATTCTGACAGTAACACAAAGGAGAAAAAAAATATATATTTTTTTTGGTTGAACTCAATGACCGAGAGCTTGCAAGGCAGACGCTTATGCTGCTGAGCTAAATCCCTGGCCTAAGAAACTGAATTTTTGACAAAAAAAAAGTGTATGTTACTCCTTTAAGTATTAATTTTTTTAAAGCCAGTCAAATTTAGCAGTGGGGGGGGGGTGGTATACCAACTTTAGTGACACTAATGTTAATAAGTTCTGATAACCCACTGTCATCGGACCAGCCAAGTATTAATTTTTTTATAAATATATTGATTGGCAAATGGATTTGCAGAATCTATCAGTTTGTGTCTTTAAAGATGTTTCGGGGCTTACTCACACAGAACTGAGGCATTTTGTGATCATTTTAGGTTAAAAGAAATAAAAGAATCTTGCTTGGCTAAATTCTAAATAAGATGGAAATTTAAAATAACTTACGATGCTGTTTTGGGGTGTGTTAAAAGTCTCTACCTGCCTGCTTTGTGGTGCTCCCAAAACCCTGAACTGCAGGAACTGATGGAGGCAAACAAAGAAACCGGTAACTTCTGTTGCTTGCCCCCCAAAGATATCAGTAATCAAAGATTTTAACTTTTTACCTTTCAAAATAAGTACACTCCATATATAAGTACACTCCATAATACAGTGGAATCTTGATTATCCAAGGCTACCTGATACTATTCCTTGCTTAAGTAGAGTGATTGTTAAAGACTCAGCTGTTTCCTTCCTCCGACATCTTCCTCCAAACCAAAGTGATTACTGCACACCACACCGGTTTCATAAAAAGAGGAGGAAAAATTAGCATAATTGGATCATTTTCCATGAGAAAAAGGAAATTTTCAGTCTTTAATTTTTCGTACTATTTCATGAAGAGTGCACTTGATACAGCCCAAATGCTGTGATACCGCAGAATTGAGAGTAAACTCTGCTTGTTTTTGTAAAAAAATACTATACTTGATTTTGCTTCTTGTTAGAGGAGTGGAATTGAGGCACAAAGTCACTTGAAAACTTTCCTACAAATATGCATATTTTTTTTCCTTGTAATGTTGTGGTTCCATTTAAACAAATCCTGCAACTACAATTATGTGCCAATTATGCTAGTTGATGTAACCGTAAACTTTATTTTCAAGCAGTTAAATATTATATTCACAACTTTAAAATATTAATTCCTGTACATCAAAAGTTCTGGGTAACATCTCTCTTCTGGAATACACACAAGTTCCCAGCCTACTCCTTGTGACAGAGGAAATTTCAGGATAGCAATCAGAAGCAAAGACTGGCAAAGGCTACTTAAGCTGTCGCGGTGCTCAGCAGCAACTTACTGCCTCAGTTTATTTAAAAAAAAAAAAAAAAAAAAAAGCACGAGAGAAGGAATTGGTCAAAGATGCACGTGAGATTGAGATCTCCCTGTCGCTTCTAGAGTCCATCCGAGAAGAACAGATGAAAAGATGAGGGAAACAGTGGCAGGGCGGGGTGCCCAGCTCCGTCTCAATCCACTTGGCGCTGTAGCATCACGGAAGCCGTCGTCCTTCCAGGGCTCTGCGCACTGCGCACTGCAGGAGCGCGGACCTTCCACCTCCTCGCTGGGCCCAGGCGTGGCGGTCAGGGAGCCCACTGTGGGCAGGGTCTGCGCCACACGGCGAGGCCGAGGGCTGCCCCCAGCTCCGCGATGCCACCCCGCTCGCAGCTGCCAGAGCGCGCGCTTCCCAGCCTGACCGAGGAGGACCGGGACGAAGACGAGGCGGAGACAGGGCGCCCCGCGGCCCACACCCTCCCTCCCTCCGCCCCCAAGGGGGAGCGTTTGTGCCCGAGGCGACAGCGGCGGCGAGGGAGAAGCGGGGCGCGCAGGGCGGAGGCCGGCCTGCGCCGCCTCCCGCGTCCCCACCCCCTCCAGCCGCCCGCCCCCGGCGCGGCCTGCCCGCCCCCTCCACCCCCTCCCGCGGGCTCTGCGCAGACTCAGTTTCCGGGGAAAGATGGCGACAACCGAGAAGCAGAAACACGACGGGCGGGTGAAGATCGGCCACTACATCTTAGGGGACACGCTGGGCGTCGGCACCTTCGGCAAAGTGAAGGGTGAGGACCCCTGGGGCAGAGGCCGCCCCCGCCCCGGGCCCAGCGGCTTCTTCCTGTAGCGCCTCTCATCCACCCCCGCGCCGCCCCGCGTCCCCCTCTCTGGCTCGGCGGCCCCTGTCCGGCTCCTGCGGGGAGCGAGCCCGCGGCTGCGGCGGGGCGGCGCTGCCCCAGGCCCTGGCGGCTCAGTGGGCTGGGGCCGGTCGCCATGGCGACGGCGCGCCGGCGGTGGGGCTGGTCTGCGCGAGGAGTGGGGAAGCCGCTAGGTGCGAACTTTCCCAGCTGCGGGAGTCGGACGCTGTCCGGGTCGCCGGGGCCTTCGTTCGCCCGGGCTATGCTCCTGAGGCTCCAGGCCAGTCCATCGTTTCCTCGCGGTCCTCCTGGCTGTGCACATTTCCATTCCTGGTGTGAGGTTGTGGACTCACTTGCCCTTGCTGTTTCCTGGGAAGAATATTCTTCCAAAAGTAAGGTTGCTTTGAGCGGGGAGAACACAAGTAACATGACGAAACGACACAGAACATTTCGTCGGAAAGTACTACTGATGACCTTCATAGCGGTTAATGGCTATAAAACGATCCTGCGGTGCTTGGTTTATGTGCAGGGTGCTGAATCTGTGCCTTCCGTATTTTCCAGTTATCTAGAGACATGTAGTTACTGTGTGCCAACCCTGGCAGGTAGAACAAGTGTTGCTTTTAGATGATATTTATTAGTTCATTTAGTGCAGTTCGTTTCCATTTATTTTCATAGGACTTTTTTTTTTTTGTTTTTGGTACCAGAGAGCGAACCCACGACCTCGAGCTTGCCAGACAGGCGCTTTGTTGCTGAGCTGTATTCCTAGCCAGGACTTTTTATTTTCCATAAACAATGTAGTGTATCATTTGAACTTTTTGTTAAGAAACTGTAGAATATAGCCAGGCGTGGTGGTGTACACCTGTAATCCCATGAGGCAGGAGGACTGCCAGGAGTTCCAGGCCAGCCCATATTACATAGTTCAAGAGCAGTCTGAGCTACATAGCTAGACCATGTCTTAAAACAAGAAAATCAAAACAAGTGTAGAACCTTTCTTATCCTTATATGGCAATACAGAGAATAACAGACTTGTTCTCTAGGCCATCCATCGCACAAAAATTTTAACTGCAAGCTTTGTGAGGCATACTTTTTGTGTTTAAAGTATTCACCTTTGTTACTAGAGACATAGAGGACATTTGGAGCTGATAAAAATAATTCATGCTTTGGCTTTTGAGAAATTACATACACTCTGTCTTGCATATACTAAGCACTTAGTAAATACTTGACTTAAAAGAAAAAAAGCTTGTTTGCTCTTTTTTTTTTTTTAACTTTTTATTGGTACCCGGGATCGAACTCACCTGCTTGCAAGGCAGGTGCTTATGCCGCTGAGCTAAATCCCCAGCCCCTAGAATAAAAGCTTGTGAAAATATGTACAGTGAGTTAACTAAGTCTTGCTCTCCTAGCACTAAACATTTTCTGACTTTAAGTCTGAAAGAGGAGAACATTTTTTTCTCTTGCTCTTTTTGAGTCATAGTACTGCGAAATTGCTGTATAGCTTATAGGGAAGCATAGACTCAGTATCTGCCTAAATGGCCTCCAACCAGGAGCAAATGACAAGCTGGGTGGGTGGCACATGCTTGTATCCCAGCACCCTTGCTGCTGAGACAGGACAATCACTGCAAGTTTGAGACCACCCTGGTTTACATAGAGAGTTGCAGGCTAATCTCAACTACAAAGCAAGAGATCTTGTCTCAGAAACCAAAACAGAATAATCAAATGACTGAGTAGGGTAGTAATAGCTAGTAAAGTGGATCTGTATTAGGTCACACTGTTTTTGTATTCTTCGAGCGTTTTTTTTTTTTTTTTTTAATTTAGCTTTCTTTATGCTGTCTTTCTGCCTGTTAGCAATTATAAACTTGTTAGCAATTAGTTTACAAATGTTCCTCAGGAATGCACATTAATGCTTCTAAAATAATGATAAGACAATTTGCACCCCTTCACAGAGTTCTTGGATATGGTGTCCACTGTTCTGAAGAGTGAGGTCTGGTTTTTTTTTGTATTTGATAAGTCTTCTGGTACAACAAATAGAAAAGGAGGGAGAGATTTTTCATTTTCTGGATTTGATCTGTAATGTATCTGATGTGAATCTAGTGATTCTTTTTCACCCACATTCCTCTCTTGAGATCCTCCGGTATTTTGTCAATGTCAACAACCTCTCCAAAAAAAGAGGGCCAATATTAAAGTTAAAGGATCATAAGTTTCTGCGTTGTGATAGATCTGTTCATAGACATCTTCAGCCACTTCATTTTGTGAGTTGTTAAACAGTTGGGATGCTTTTTGCCAACTCGTTCTATGTTTCTGTCTCCATAGCAAGGAAGACCAACCTGCCTCTTGTATGTCTTAATAGTGTGTCCAGTCTCTTATGATTAGAGGAGCCATGTGCCACTTGTTATAGGCATTAGAAAGAGAGAATTACAATTATCCTCAGAGAATATGGTTCATGCAGACAGAACTTTTATACTTATTTGTGTACTTTGTTAAATTTAACATAGGAATCTAACAGAACATGTAATTTCAAAATGTAAAAAAATTCCCAGTATGACATTTCATGCTTATAGGAAATTTAATTTGGGGGGAGAGAAGCCTATATATTCATAGTAATTATTTTCTTCCTAGGCTAAAACAGTTCTTTGGTTACTTTATTCACTTATGTATTTTGTCTTTTTAAGACAGTTTAACTATGCAGTTCAGGCTGGCTTTGAACTCACTTTGTAGCCCAAGCTGGTCTGAACTCACAGCAATCCTCCTGCCTCAGCCCCTATACTTTGATTACTTAATGATAACATTTTGAGAAGAAAGTTTAAATTGAAAGTTTTATTTGCTTGAATTATTCGAAGGTATCATTTGACTTTCTTTTGTTTGTAAAAATGTTGGTCTTTACTCCCTTATTCACCCTTCCCTTCATAGAACAGTTACAAAATAATGGGTGAATAGTTATGTTACTATCATGATAAATTAAAATGGCACATTTCACTTGTAATCCCATTATGCATGAGGTTAAGGAAGGAGAAGAGCTGGGAGAGTTTGAGGCCAGCCTGAACTATGTAGAGATTCTGTCTCTAAAGTGAGGAAAAAATAAGTTTTAAGGGAAAACTGGTTTTAGTGGGCTATCTTCACCAAATGATTTGTTTATGCAAACTTACTAAGTTGGTAATTCTACAATTTTAGGTAAATTGGTGGTTATTCTTGTGAACAAAGTACAGGTAAAATTATTCAAAATTTCCTTTAATTAAAATAACAATCTGTATATAAACTAAAGCTATATAATTTTGAATGAATCTCAGGAGTACAGGGTTAGGCATCAGAAATGAGTTGTAAAGAATATACAGTCTGATGCTGTTTATATAAATTTTAAAAACCTACAAAACACTGGTTCAGTACTGGTGGGAATATAAATATCACTTCTGTAGCGTGAGACAGTAGGTATTAAAATTCACCTAGTAATACTACATGTAGGTAGTTATTCCATAGATGTACTACGGTAATGAATAATAGTTGCCATAGTTCTAATATAAATGTTTGGACATAACCTTTGTAATAGGATAATAGTTAAATTATGATTTATGTAGACAGTGAAATACCTTGTAAATATTAAGAAAAAATGAGGAACTTGATATAATTTAGCAACAATTTCCAAGTGTATTTTTATGATGAAAAAGTACAATGGTATGTATAATACATTTATCTACCACTAATGTATAAAAGGCAGGGGCAGATACACATGTCTGTGTTACTACTTTTGTATACACAGGCATCGTGTCTCTTTAAAAATACACAAGAGTGTGTCACAGTAGTTGCTAGAAGGAAAACTAGGTAGAAAGAGACACTGTTTGTTCTTTTGATTTGTGGATAGTAGTCAAACTTTGAAATTATATAAAATTAAATGTGTGAAAACGTGGAAACAATGTTGCTGTGTTTTTCATGGAGTTATACTTAGGTAATAGTATGTATGTGTGGGAAGCAAACACCAACTTTAGGGGTTATCTTTGAGAAAGAGTAAGGAGAAAGTAACCATCAGGCTTCAATTGGGTCTGTAATATGATACTGCTTAAACGTGGTGGTACATGGGTATTTGGTTTTGGATGTGCCTGAAATGTTTGTTTTTTAAAAAAATAGTTTTGGTTTTGCTTTGTTTGTTTTTTGTACTAGGGACTGAACCCAGAGCCTTTGTACTGAGCTATGTTCCAACTTCCCGCTCCCCCCCCCACACCTTTTTTTTTTTTAAAGACAAAGCCTCACAATTGCCTAGGCTGGGCTTGAACTTTTAATCTTTTTACCTCAGCCTCCCAGCAAATTGGAATTACTGGGTTGTACCCCTATGCCCAGCTTAAAATAGGTAGCTTTTTAAAAATGTTTACCTGCAGCTTTTAAACTCACCCCTCTCCAGGATTAAGCTATTTCCATAACACTTTTAGTAATGAAATTTTCATTATTTTAGAGTGGGAACAAAATGGTTAGGAGGATAGAATGTCTTCAATAGCTGTTTGTATCTTTGGCATCTGTAGCCTTCTAAAGTCCTCTCTTTCAAAGTATGATCTTCTCTTCAGGAATATATGTCTGATTAGAACAGCCTTTGTTACAGTGTTCTAAAGTTAGACAAAAATTCTCCATGGAGAGCAGTAACATGGTTGCTACCTCATAGTTGATTAATGGGCTGTTCTTGTGAGACACTGTCAATGCTGACAACTTTTTTGCTGTATAGCAAAAGCAAGTTTTGTGTAACCAAAATACCAGTAGTAAGTCAGGTGTGGTGGCTCATGCCTGTGTAGTAATCTTGATATTTGGGAGGTTGAAGTAGGAGGAACACTGGAGCACATGAATTCCAGATTAGCCAGGGCAACATTGAGATCCCCTCTGCCTTCTGAAAAAACAAATGATGATGAAACCAAAACAAAACAAATAACATTCTGTCCTGCATTTTCCCAAAGTAGCATTGTAGCACAGTTACAAAATGTGAACAGTCTGGAGGATAAAGTTTTGTATACAGAGACATAGTTCTCTTTAAAAATACACAAGACAATTCCTTATTAACACAGATTCCTGACGGCTTCATTTACTACTATACTCCTGATTTGTCTGTGGAGCAGCAATGTGGCTGGAACAGAGTTTTCTGAATGGAGAATCTTTAGCCTAGTTTTGAGAAAACAGTTAGTTTCTGATAAAGTGCCGAGAACTTTCCTCATTGCTGGGGTGACTAGAGTAGATAGCTCTGAAGACTTGGGAGTCAGAACTGTCCCAACTTGATCATAGTGTCTTTGCAAATTAGAGAATCACTTAGCCCCTCAGTTCCTACATCTGTGAAGAAAGATAACTGCATTACAGGCTCACTGTGAGGCCCAAATATGGTAATGTGGGTGCTTCCTGAATCTAAGATACTGTATTTTTTAATTTTTTT